CGCAGCGGGGCACATTAATGCGGAGCACATCGCTGACCCCGTGCGCGGAGCCAGCAGCCCACCCCTTCCGTCAGCTGGTGACTTCCTCCGCGTCCCGGACAGCTGCACGTCTGGCTGCGGCTCCCCGAGACGCCTCGTCCTGCCCGGATTGCTCGAGCCCGCCGGCTCCAGAGGGGGTCCCCGACAAAGGCAGGATGCGGCCGGGCGCGGGGGGCCGGGGCCGGGCAGCGCCGTCCTCCCGGCCGCTCCTTGGAACCCAAGTCACGCTCCCGCGACAACTGCTCCTCTGTGCCTGTTTGAACTGTCCCTCCCAATTAGCAGTAATAAGTGACTCTGTAAAGATGAGCAAACACAGCGCATTCATTAGCCCCGACGGCCCCCGCCCTCCCTCCCGGCAGCCCCAGGAGATCCCCAGGGCACCGCTCCGGAGGATGCCGAACGCATCTCGCCCGGCCTCAATGAGTGCCGGCAAAAGGCAAATTAATGACGAGTCGCTCGAAGAGTTTGCCTGAAATTATTTTATTCTGCCTGGGAATTGATTACTCCTGACCTGGAAATATGTCCAAATCAATACGCTAAAGCTCAAGGCAAAAAAGACATGCTCTAGCCCCATTTATTTCATCCACTTTTTTGAGGAATGGCACATAATTTACCGGGTAGGAAGTGCTAAGCCTTTCCAGAGTGAGGACTAATGACAAGCTGTGGGAAAGTGATGCCTCCATCCATCTCCCAGGCGAGTCACGAGTCCCCGCATCCACTGGTGACGACCTTGGCGGTGGCCAAGATGTCCGTGGTGACAGGACGTGCCTCTGGCCATCCCTGCCAGGCAGATGGATATGGAGGTGAAGCATGTGGGTCGAGGCACCCACTAAAGAAAAGATTTTAAACCTCCCCAAAAAGATGACTGATGCCCTGTATCATTGCACACCCTGCTCCTGCCTGGCCAGCTGGAACCAGGCTGGAGCAAAGGCTGGTTCAGGGGTGAGCTGGAAGTGATGCTGAATGTACACAACAAACACCGAAACTGTTGGAGCAACATTGGTGGCCTGGCTTCAGCATTGCAGAAAAAATAACCTGCATTACCCAAAGTACATGGATTCCACTTTCCAAAGTAAATGGCATGAGGGACACTGTGTAGGACAAGGACACGTCACATTATCCAGGGGCTGAGCCCCAGGTCTGGAGGAAATGTTAGCACCTCGTGCTGCTTTCCATAGCAGACGCTCCACACGCACCTTGTGGATGACACGTGCCTGCGAACGCACCCCATTTGCGACTCCTCTGCATGCTCCACAGGGTCCTGGATTTTCCAGGGCATTAAACTCTATCCCCTCTCAAAAAGCTTCACAGCAGCTGTCATCCTGCTYGCGGGGGGTGGACGGGTGGGCTCCTGGCTGGAGACCATCAGTGTCACTCCTGAGCCGCTGGTGGGTGAAGGACGAGGTGGCCCTGTCGGCCTTGGGAGCTGCCAGCCYGTGCTGGGGATCTGTCACTGCTCCTGGGACAGGGATGTGAGAGCAGCACCCAGCACTGAGGTGYAGGTACAGCAGCGCACCTGCACGGACACTCATGTGGCTTCCTATGCACTGCCACCCAAGGAAAGGACAGTTCTGACTGTGTTAAAGCAACAGAACTCAAACCTTTCTACTCATCATGAGTCCTTCAAACAAACATCTTTGTGTGAAACAGAGACATAAAAGAGCAGAGCACTGCAAAAATTAAAATCCAGGGTCTCCTGGCTTCCCCTGGGTACATCCCTTCYATGCAGGACTGCTCCACGCATCTCTGAGGGCATCATCTCCCCAGGCCTGGGCAGCCTTGGGCTGGAAGAGAATTCCCCTTGGCCTAATCTCACAGATGAGAGATGCCAGGGCAGGAGAGGGAGCCTGAGGAAAGAGAAGAACATGATGGGGTGTGAAGCAAGCCTTGCTGAACCCCAGCCCAGARACAGGGAAGGGAGAACAGCGAGTTTCCATTCAGAGACCCTGGATGTGATCTGTCTGTCTGGCCCCCTCAGCCTGAGCCTATGGCCAGGGGCTCCCGGCCGGGCGGCCTCAGCCTGGCCTGACACCCTCCTTCAGCTGCACTTAGCTCTGAGCAGAGGGGATTTTTCTAGATTRAAGCACTGCTGCTCCCCCATTCAGAATGGGAACATCTGTGAAAAGGGGTCATTCATAATAAACTTGTGAGTGCTGGGTAGGAAAAAAAAATACCCGGCCCAGAAAACAACACYGCCTTTATTTTTTGGTGCAGCCGCCTGAGCCTGCAGGACCCTCGTGGGTGAGGCAGGGAAGGCTGGGGGGCTCAGCTCAGCCCCCTGCACCCCCACCCTGCACAGCTCCCCAGGCATGGCCTTGTGGAGCGGGACAGGGACCAGCAGCACCGAGGGACACACGGCAGGGCGGGGGTCAATTCCTTCACTCGCCTCCCTCACATCCTAACAGGCACAAATCCCCTCATGTGGCAGCAATGCAAACGAGTTTTATTACTCAATAAAATATTTGGAACAAAATAAATGGTTTTGTCAAACACTATATCTCCTCAAATAATAATGCACCAGCTTACAAAGAAAAACAACCGACATTCATATTCTATGGCAAAGGTTTATTTCTCCTCCCACAGGAGAGGGGAACGGGCATTTCAATTCGGAATTCAGATACTGTATGGGAATACAGTAACTATAGTTCTCAGAGGGTTTGTGCAAATGCCAGCAAAACAAACCCCAAATCAAATTTATTAGCTGGTGGAGATCTCTAACAATCTTACACAGTGACTGATGAAGCCGTCGGGGAATTCCTTTCAACATTAAGTGATTTAAAGCCCCTACAGAAACTTCATTGTCTGTTCCAAGACAGAAAGAGTTCCTCGGTATCCAGTACCACTCCTACAGCAGCACTGGGGTGGCTGTTACTGCCAGTGTGTGTTTCCTTTCCTCTGGAAACCTTACCAGGAATCCTAACATCCCCAGTCCTGTGGAGAACTATAAAGGGGGGAAGCGMAAATTAATTAAGAACTGCAGCCTGTGTCCTAAAGGGCCCGTGTGTATTTTGATTGCAAGGCTGGGACACTCACTTCTGCCCCGAGAGCGCTTCCAGAAAATGATCCGGATGTCATTCCCCCACAYGGATCAGCCACTGAACACCCACAGTCTGCTTGGCACAGGGCAGAGCCGCAGGGTTTGAACACAGCCGACTCCCACCAAAGCACTGGGTGCCAGGACCAGGCTGGTTGTGCTATGGCAATGCCAAGCTGCTCTCTGGGAAAGCACCAGGATGGCAGCATGCTCCTGCTCTGGCAGGGGAGATGCCCTTCCTGAGGATGCAGTGGGGGGAAGGTAAAGGCACAGCTAGTGTCCCCAGAGCATCCACATCACCCAGATCCTGCGGAATTACTTTTAAAAGCAAATCCAGAAATGCACAGCTCTAATTGCCAGGTTTTTCTCATGCACACTCATAACTGGGTCATTTGCATTTTAGCTGCTAAAATATCAGGGGGATGTTATTTAATCAATCATCACAGCTTACAAAGTCCTAAGTGAGAGAATATTTTTTGATTGTCTCTGCTTGTATCTAAACATCTCACAAACCCGCCAGCCAGTTCTTCATTTCAATTAGGGCAATGCTGATCGTTAGCTAACTAATAAGGACCAATTTTCTGTCACAACTATTTCCTAATTAAATTCAAAACAGAGATTTCTAACCCAGATGGTCAGTGATGCTACAGATTTGTTTAAATTTGGTATCACAGTAACAAACTACTAATTAGGGTTTGTAAATACACCAATTCCCTTATGACTTAGTTGTTAGTAATGCATACAACCGGTTTATTAAAGCACTAATTGTGTCTGGCTTTACTTGGGCCTAACACATAATCCACTTATCACATACTGGTACCAACTCATTTTGAAGGGATTATGAATGAAATCATAAATGAGGTCTCGCATCCCTTTCCCGGTATGGTTAATAAAGGTTTGGTGTCATATTTAGATGACATATTTAGATTTTCTGCCTCTGATGGAGAGCGGCCCCACAGTGATACTAGTGCTCCATTCTCCAAAGGGTGCTTAACAAAAAAAGTTCCGGAGGCCACCCCATGCTCAAAAAGGGGTTTCTGCCCCAGCTCTGCCAAGCTCCTTGAAAGGAGTTTCCCAGAGAAAGCACTGAATTGTTTATTTCCCACTGAAGTCAAGCTCAGCCCATCCACAGGGCCAGGGCTGGCACAGGGGGCTCATGAGACCCTTGTCCCTTTGCCTGGAGACCCTCATGAGCCTTGATCGCCTTCTTGYAGAGGGATGGAAGAGATCTCCCAGTGCCACTAAACCTGGATTCCCTCTCACCCTTGCTGAGGGCCAGCCCTCTGGAAAAGACCCTGTTTTTTATGGAAGGCTTTGTTCTAAGGAGTCCAAAGAGGAGATACCCCACAGCTGGACCTGGGGGCTCAACGCCCCTCACTGCCATGGCTTTATCGAGTGTGCATAAAGTAGGAAATAAATGATAGATAACTGTGAATTGCAAGGTTATGTAAACACGAAGGGGGTTTCAGAAGAATCCTATTAAACCATAAAAGAAAAGCATGGATGGTTTATCACATCACTAAGACCCAAGAATGCATTAATAAATAGAAGAATAGATAACGAACCGTGGAGTACAAGGCTAAACTATCTGCTATTGTGAGGATCCTGTGACAGTAGAAACAATGAAGGGGAAGAAAAAGCTTTGTTGGTCTGTCACCAGAACCTTGTAGTGTATCTTTTATAGCCTATTTTTAATGAATTCACAGCACCTATCAGTTACTCTCTGCCCAAATCCCTCATTTTCCTCCCCCTTGAATGCAAATTCCCATGCTGCACTCTGCCTTCACCATGACTTCCCGGTTAAACTCCGGGTTTCTCTGGGTTTCAATGGCCTTTCAGCCACAGCAAGAACAGGTTTCTGCTTTCATATTTCCAAAGGGTTTTCAGGATGGTAACAAAAGTGGGGTTTAATGCAAAGCAGGAGTACCTCTGAGCCTTGTTGCATCCTTTGCTTCTTCTGTGACAGGAGGGTGAATGCTCAGACAAGTCTAATTCAGCCTGAGGTGACGATGCCCAGACGTGCCTGCAAGGAAGAAAMAAAAACAGATGAAAGCTGCTGCTCCTCTTGCTGTTTTCCAGCCCTCTGCAAATAACACTGAGAATTGTTGGAGGGGACTTAATATTAATCCAAGAGATAGTACATTCTTTGTAGACACTACTGAGACTCACTAACAGTTTATTTTCACTGCACTGAGGGGCTTTTATCGTTAAATAAGGACCCAGGATACATTTACTGTAGATTACTTTTATTTTTACTACAGCATCGTTAGGTACAGAGCACTAAGGAGACAGAGCTCACCATGACATGCTTTGCTATAAAACCCCTGGGTCCTGCCTCCACCAGAATCCAAAATCCTGATTGATTTCCATGTAAAAATCTCAAACACTTTGTGCTGGCAGCTCRGTGCTGCACCGACATTTTGCAGGAGCATAGCCTCAACAAGGCTGGAAGAGGCAGGAGAGGGTCCGTGTTAAAGATGGAAAACCTGTCACAGCATGATGGGTGCCCAAAAATTCGAAGTTCTTTTGGTGGCAAATCCCACCTGAAGCAGGTCCCCCAAGGAGCCTGCACTGGGCCCAGTTTGAGGCTCACACTGGGAACTACTCCAACCTCCTTMCTCTTCACATCTCCAAAGGATGCTGCAGGTAGGCAGGAGAAGCCAGACAGCTGTTGCTCCTCTTCACACTGAGAAAAGGGAATTAAGGAGACCTGACTGAACCCCAATCAGCAGTCAGGAATCTGGATCTGCCTTTTTCTGGACTAYCCACACTTGAGCTCCCCACACATTTTGGTGCCTGTCCCACCAGCACATCCCTGCAAGCTCACAGAGTGTCCTGCAGGATGGCCACACCACAGGGTCCCTGTCCTCAGRCACAGGACAGGGGGCCACCTGGCCTCTTCTATGCTGGGTGCCAGAGGCRAGGCACAGGCAGGGAGGCAGCTGCCCTCCCTCCCCTCAGCCTGGAGCCTCTCTCCTGACCATGGAGGAGCAGAGAGCAGGCGGCTGCACTCCTAGGAGCACACTTCAGGCCGGTGAGGAGTACAGCCGAGTACTCAACAGGCTCTGGAAATAAGTGGAAGTCAAATAAGTTTGCCACTCTTTGTCCCCCTTTCAATATCTAGCTTTGATCAAAATCCTTGGATACTCAAGTGGTTGTTGACTTAATGTAGTAATGAGACATAGCCTTAAGTGAGGCCATTTCCGTGCCCATTCAGGCTCTCTGAGAGCAAGGGATGCAGGAGGAAAAGCCTCTCCTGGTCTCTGGGAGCTGCAGCAGAGCCCAGAGCAGAGGCCTGGCTCCAGCTCCCAGGGGATGTGGCAGGAGGGTCTGGTGGCCACAGCTACACAAGGCACACTTGATATCCTTTTTATGCAATAGAGCCTCACTAGAATGGTGCTGGGTGACATCACAAAATCCACTGAAAATGTCTCCTCCAGAAGCTGTGCCATGTGGCCAAGGCTATTCCAGAAGGAAGAGCACTCTCCAGTCTCTRCAAGGGCATTTCACAGTGCCACTCCCAGGGTCATGCCTGCTGCTCTGACAGGTGACCCGTGCAGTGGCTCCACATCCCACARGGGCCCTTCACTCTCACCCCTTGCAAGACCATCAAGCCAAAGTGCCAAACTTCAGCRGGGCCTGACACCTGACACCACTGTCACCATTGCCTCCTCCTGGAAAGCACTGGGGAAGAGGGTGGCATCATCCCGAGGACAGGGACTGGATGATCTTAAAAGTTCTTTCCAGCCTAAAGGGCTCTCAGATTCTCTGGGCAGGCTGTCAACCTGAGCAAGGCAGGAGTGACRGAAGAGCCCAGGAGCCTGGATACAAACAGCAGGCCCCGAGAAAAGTAAAAATTCTCCAAGTGAYGGGGAGCAGCTCAGCCAATTAGGATTTTAATTCCCCTCGTTATGCACAGCCAGTCAATAAATTCTGCACCAAGCAGCTGCTCTAATTCTTAAGCCCATTAAGCCCTACATCTGATAGGCGGGCGGGAGGGGCTGCCGGGGGGCACAGACGGCGCTCCTCGAGATATGAAACATTTCCTCTTGTGCATCTGGGTCACCCCACCCAGCCCCACTCCGAATGGGTATTTTATGGAGGCGGTGAATAAGAATTTATATAAATATCCTGCCAGAGACACACACCCCACATATGGAGAGAATAAAGAGGTGACTGGATGAGATGTGCTAAGGGAGTGTTGGTGCTGTAATAGAGCAGGAGAGCAGAGCTGGAGGGGAGAGCCTSGGATGGAGCAACAGAATTTGGGTGTCTGCAATGGAGGGAGATGATCCCAAAGAGCTGGGCAAACAGCCAAGAGTGAAGAAAAGCAGGATCAGAGATGCAGGGAGGAAAAAAACTCATGGAGCAGTATGGCAAGTCCAGAGAGGGCTGCCTCTGATGCAGGACAAGGCCAAGGAGCCACAACAACAATTCCTGGTGAGAAGGGCCAGATGGCTGRAGCGGAGGTATCCCCACAACGGCAGAGATGAAAGGCAGGAGAGAAAAGGGAATATACTGGGAGTGGAAAAGCGTTTGGCAGCCAAGATGGTTTTGCTTGTTAATTGGCAACAAGCTAACACATTAATTACAAAGTTACTGGATAGTCAAGAAAAACATTGGCAGCACAGCAATTTGCATTYCTCCGGAGACACTCTCCCTGCTGAACAGACCCTGCTCCGGGAATGCTGCCTCTGCCCACCCACATCCAGGACTAGAGAGGCCCAAGCCGTGGGAGAGAGGCAAAATATGAACAGGAATTAAAAATCATCCTACCTTTAGCTGGGCTCTTGCTCATCTCAGATTAGTGTGAAAGACTGACTGCAGGCCATATGCACCCAGCCAAAATKTATTCTCTTCTCATCTCTTACACACAAATTTGAAAATAAGCTGCCCACTGCAAATTCCATTCCCACTGCACACCAGGAAAACACCAGGCCTACAAGGGGCTGCCCTCCCTGTCAGCTCCACAGGGCACCAGAGGACTAATGATGAGCCCTTAAGCTTTGGTCAAGGCAAGGGGGGTGTAAATGAAAGTTTGCTCAATTCTGTGAATGCACTGGCTGCAAAGAGCCTGTTCCTATAATCCTTTCCAGCCTCAAAATGYAATTTCCTCACTTGGAAGGCTAGCAGGAGCCATTCATGTCTCAGCCCCAGCCAAAGCCCAATCTCTCTCCAAAGGCTGTTTCTAGACTGGAAGCCAAACATGGGTYTTACAGTAGGGAATCAAATGGAGCCATTGGTGTGTGCTGCAAGTTGCGGCTCTCAAAGCCTGGCACACGGCTCCTGAAGGAACATGGCACTGCCTGTAATCCCAATGCCAGGCTGGGGGCTGGCGGGTCTGGCCAGCCATAGCAAAGGCTCCAGGATTTCTTGCTGCATCCCAGATCTAGCCTAGTCCTGTCCACTCCCCAAACCCACCAACAGCCAAGGGRAGACAGGGCAAACCTCCAGACATCTGTTGGACAACCACTATCAGCAGTGCCCTCCACTGATCTCAAAAGGAAGMATATTTTGCCTTTCCTTGAATTTCTTGCCAGCTGGAAAGTTGGTGCACTTTGGATTCAAAATCTCCTTCCAGGAAGGAGCCTRTGGATTCAAAAGCTCCAATATCAGGAAGAAGTTCTTCCCTGTGAGGGTGGTGAGGCACTGACACAGTTTTCCCAGAGAAACTGTGTGTTTATTGCAGCTCCTGCAGACAGCACTARTAAGATTGCTAATAATGGCACAGATCAGGGGCTGCTGCTGGTAAATTAATTAGAAACAGCATCACTGTACCCTGATTAGTTGCTATCCCTCCACCTCATTGACTGAAACAGTTTTTGTCAGCAGTTTGTGTTTCATACGCCACTAGAAGCCCACTTGAGGAAGCTCATCCAGAAAGGGGAACCTGCAGTGCTGGGCACTGGCTGGATGGCTTTAAAACCTTCAGAGCTTGTCAAGGTCAGTTTATTCAAGRTAATTTGTCTGCCATTTTAAGAGCATTATGTATTTCCTCCACAAATCAGGTGAAAAAATGATGCTGCTGCAGAAGCATCTCAGTGTTGCCAGCCCCAAGAACACAAGGCTTAGGGATCAGATTTGCTTCTTCCCCGCAAAGCATGGCATCAGCTGGGAATTCATGATTATGTGGATTGGCTTCTCTCCCTTGCCTGCTGGGGTTTGAACTCAAGGCTCTGAATTTCCTTGCAACTGTGAGTACCAGGAATTAAGTGAAAGTTTAAATTCCAAAGACAACTGAACACTCCAAGTCCAAGGAATCCACCTCAAAGGCCTGTGGCTGCAGTGACAGCAGCCAATACCCCAGATCTGGAACTGCAGTAACTGCAGCCCTCACCGCCTCAGTTGKGGCAGTGACATAGAAGTGAGCACAGAAATCTTTCTATCACTTCCCAAGCTAATAATTTAGCAGGAAATTGGGTYCCTGGGGGTCATTAGCATTAATTATTCCACAATGCCCCACCCCTGTGGAGTGACTAAAGATGCTGTGACACACCCAACGATGCACTGATGTACCTGCCTGCCAACTGTCCCGCCTGCAGGAGAGAGAATTTTAATTGACTGGAACCAAAACACCCTCTTGAGGTTCTTGGGGAGCAGGCAGCAAACCCTGCTGAGGACAGTTCAGATGCTCCATGCACTCACGGTACAATCCTCAGGCAGTGCTACACCAAATGGAGATCAAAAGCAACAATAGTCTGTAATCAAGGATATCTGCATAATAGTTTTCCTGAAGGATGTTTGTGCAGGTGAGYGAGGAGTAAAGCATTGTTTCATCAAATGGTAATTTCCTTGTATCTCAGAGAATGAATCCTATTCGCTCACCCGGGTATAATTCAATTAAAGGGGAGAACCTTAYGCAAGGGAATGAAATCTATCGGTTTGACTGCGATGCTGCAAATCACACCAAGCAAGAAAATGGCATTTGGTCCTGACATTATGATTTATTTCCTACTCAGTATCTTATAATTCTTACAAGATAAGCCAAGATGAGAAATTATCATGTGTACGTGGGGGTCGTGC